TTGTACACTGTGTGCAGTTTGATCTAACTTAAAAGATAGGATACCTTACATCTCAATTTATACCCACAATATTATTCAATTGCAAAATATTTGTTTACTACTATGTCATATAATTAAAACCTTAGTCGCAGGAACACATGGCCAGTCTTCCAGTGTTATATAAGTTTTACTTAATTGTGTAAGTAGTAGTAATTGGTCTTCCACTAAAGATCTTATATACTATGCAATTTTTATGAAACGGTTTAAAAACAAGAGACATTTTAACTATCAGCAAAACATAATGATCAATTTAATTCAAACAAAACATAATGATTTATCCACTTTCCACTGTGAATTACTCACGTAGTTTTTGAATTTATCGCTTTCATATATATAGACTGACTGACCCAGCCTTCATTTTATAAAAGGATTTTATCAATAATTCTTAATTAGGAAACAGATACATAACAATCAAAATAAAAAAGTCAAATAAAGTATAATGTAGAAATATTAGATACTAAAACAATTAAAAATCACAAAAAGAATAATTATATATAAACATAGGGGGCAGACCGGTAAGATTAAAAAATAATTGAGCTCAAACTGGAGAAAACTTACCCGATAAAACTCAGCAGACTGATGCAAAAACGGTTTCTCAAAGTCCTCTTCATACACTGCCCGGGAGTTGATCCCCAATACCATGAGCATCTGACAGGCATTGCGAATAGCCAATCTATCAACCACTTCACCACGTCTTTCACGAGCGACCAGTTCAAGGAGTGTTTGTCGTAAATGATCGCGTATACAACCGTACCGAACAACCTATTACAAGAGGAAATGGTTAGAAATATGTATCGTATATATAGTTTGATCGTAAAAGAATAATAAATCTATTTTTAAATATCTAGTTGTATTTTTGACTAGCGTTGAGTTTACTCTGAGCCAAAAGCACTAAACAGAGGTAACATACAAATATAACAATAAAATTAAAATTGCATATCAGCGACTCCCACCATATTAAAGTTAATTATGTTTTCCTCCTTTCCAGTGTATTCCTTCCATTGACATTAAATACTCAATTATTAAAAAACTAGTCTTTAATATTACACTCTTTTAACTACACATCTCTTATCATAACAGCATAAACACAATTTGATAGGAAAAGATCAAAGAATACTTTGTATTGGGTTAAATGGTTAGTTTTAAAGTGAAAGCTGATCATATAATCTTGTATGAATAAAATATGATGATTTGATTTAACAAACCACACTACCTATAGACACAGTGATAGTCCATAAATGTCTGGACAATGTCTGGAAATCTTCTGTTACTATAAAACCAGAACAATTATTGATTTGCAGGGAATCCACAATCTCTGGGTTACATGCGATAACTAAAGCCACTAAATCTATGAACATGTGTGCTACATATAAAATTCTCCGAGCCAGAAGATGACTTAAGAATAATAGCAGTACCTGATCTCTAAATATAATAAGTCCTAGGTTATAGACATTATCCACATCATTCTGTTGTACATAAACTCTATCCATATACATGAGTATATCTCTGATCATCACCATGCTAGTTTGATGATCTGTCCATGCATTGTTGAGTGTTTGCAGAAATCCATTGTGCAATGCATGGAGGACATCTTCACGGACCTGTGAAGATTTTCATGGATCTTAAGAAGTACAATTGAAAGCTTTGGCATAACATTTTAAGTATAATTTACTATGCAATATGCACAGCTTTATACGCGTTGCAGACCAAGAGCTAAGCTACGTCAGTTTAGCTTAGCTCGCATAGCTGACGCAATTTTCCATACATCTGACCGCAAACTATGCGAACTAAGCTATGTGAGCTAACTAAAATATGAGTAAGGTGTTTTTTTTGTTTTTTGGGGGCCACCAAAAGCAAATTTTTCCCCCCCCCCTCAACCCCCCACCCTTTGCACATACTATGCAACAATGACTGAGCTTTGGGTTGGGGCTGTTGGGGTGTGCGCTATTTATTTCTAGCTTCGCTTAGCCTAGCTTGCTTGGCATAGCTTAGTTTAGCCTTGGCATAGCTTAGTTTTCGGTCTGAACCGGTTTAAGCATATTTAATGTTTCCATATCTAGAAGAAACAAAATAATTCAGTAAGAAAGGTAAATTGAAGAAAATTCAGTATGAAACACCCCTATACCTTAAGGGATTTATAGCCTGTAAAATTCCAAGGGGATGTAGGATACATTATTGAAATTCTTAGAAATACAGATATGACTAGATTTCCTCTAGAAGGCCCTTAATAGTTACCTTATTTTCGAGGTGATGTGTAACAACTTCCTTAAGGCCAGTGTACAACCTCTCCCCATGTTTGTGGAGTACCATAGTATATGCATTCCGGTATAATTCTTCAAATGAGAGACCTGAATTATTCTTTTTCTGTATTTCCTGTATTGCATTTTTTAGTAAACTCCATATACTCTCTACATACTTCTCATCCATAGTCATCTGAAAAGGATTTATTTCTATTGTGTTAGGAAGATTATGACTATATTATTACTATACACATGAGGCAAGGTCTGGTAGTATTTAATTTAGAAAAATTAATAAGTGTAGTAATTAATAATGTTCATTGTCTATATTAGACTATTTAGGTATAATAAATTGTTAATTTCTCCCGCAACTTCCTTAACCATGAATAAAACATCTACACAAATAAAAAGAAAGCCAGCTTTGATATCAAACACAACTAACAAAATAGTCAGTTGTGGTTCTACTTAGTATGAATTGGACAGCATGTCTATTTCATACAAGGCATTGACAGGACATACCCATGTATCCGGATACATCTGATAATAAGGTTCTGAATAGTTCCATACTTGAAATTTTCTAGTCATTTTTAGTTTTATGATTTCTATCATTACAAAAACATAAATATCAAAGTAAAAATATATACGTTGTAAACAATTTTATAAATTCTCTAATGTTGACTGATTTTTCTATGTTGTCAAACAAATTAATGACATTTTTTTTACTGAAATTTTGTCTCTATTCAAGTGAACTTATTTTTCCAATTTTGAAATTGGTTGTCAAATAATGACTATGGATTAAAAACATACACCATAAATCATTGAAAACACTAACATCTATATACACACACTATTTTTAATTGATTACCTAAACAATTTCAAGAACTCCAGTCTCAGGCAAATTTACTAAAGTATAATATAACCTTATTTAATTTCACACAAATTAAGTTATATTATGACTGTTCCTTAATAATTTACTTTTTTATGTTAAGCTTAATCCACCAGGTCCCTCTTAAATCCAACTTTATATTTAAAGTAAAGAGCTAAATAAATCATATTTTAAGTGTTATTTAGTAATGAGCTTTTAAATAGATGTATCAAAACAATTAGTAAAATATGTTATTATCATACACAAGTAACCTTCTACACTTATGTAAATTTTAATAATTGAAATGTTTTACATCTTGTGTGCAATATGTATTCTTAATAACTGGATAAAAAGACGTCACTTACGGGAAAAGCTCTGATCCTCATCTTGCCAGGTTTGTCTTTCGGTAACGTACTTTTCATCATTGCGGCTGATTATTTTTTTAACTCACAACAAAACTTTATATATCGTTTTTATTTAACTTCAGAGTAATACTTCATTGTTGCCCTCCAATTCAAAGCTGGAAATTTAAGCATTACATTATAAAATTACTGCTTAGTTTTTGTTGGTAAAGCAAACGTCATCCGATAATGTACTTGGCGAATGCGAATTACGCTAATATTTACCCAATTAAGAAAAGGGGCTCAATTTTGTGTTTTGATCGGCAAGCTTTACTAATAAAGCCGTAATAATAAACAATTTTAGGGTGCAATATCTCTTTTAGAACAAAATATATGAAAAATATTGATAAAGTAAATAGATGTCAAGAGAAAAGGCAAAATAACAGGCTAGGAATGGAGACTTCTCTTTCACTCATCATATAGTCGCTAGTTTTAGCTAGTACTTGACATGACATATTATTTAATAATTATCATACATCAATTACGGTGAATCCATTAAAAAGATGTTACCTCATTTAGCTATAAGTTTAACACTTAAAAATATCTAGAAACTAGTGTAAACAAGATACTTTTTCAGTTTTCCAAAACCATCGAATCAAAATTGGGAATAGAACATGATTGACAAGGACAAGTGACAATTGACAATTTAGTTTAACACCACAGAGATATTCGGTCAATTAGTATTAGTAACTACTCTGTGGATTTTAATGTGACACAACAGTGTATGTACAGCGCCAATACAACTTTATTAGTCTATGGAGTCTAAAAGTTGATTCAAGCCAGAGCGCGCGCTTTTTAATTATTCGCGCGCATTATCTAAATGAGCTTTATATTGTAAATAGCTTTTTTTTATTTATATTTAATTATTTCTATTATTAATTTGTAGGTTAAGAAAATTGTAAATACTTGATTGTAAATAGTAATTAGATATAATATGGAATAATTTAGCCATTTATAAAAAATGAAGAATTTTATCTTAGTAGAAAAATTTCTTATAAAAAAGATATTTCTAGTAACTTGTATTTTGAATCCCAAAAATTTCAATTAAAGATTACATAATTAAATCTGGAACATTTAATTATGTAATCTTTAATTGAATAATTTATTGCCTCTTGGTTAGTCTGTAAAAGTTTGGAATTCTACTTAGGCAAATTAGGGCAAAATATTATAAACGTCCAATATCAATCTACGTATATACGAAATTATACGATGAATAGTAAATAATACTTTTGAAACATTTCAGCTTCTTAGTTTGATCTGCAGTATTCCTTTCAGTTGACGATTGTATTCTGCACCCTGAAATATGCCTATCTATATTAGGTAGGTACTGTGTGCACTTTAAATTTTTTATTTATATAGATTACGAGAATAAGTTAGTAGGTTATTTAAACTAATTTTCGTTGTAAATACGATTCTTAAATTTTTATTCATAAAATACTTAATAAATTACAGAACAATTTACTGCGTAAGAATAGATAAAAAGCGAAGAAGAAATAGGGTTGCGCAGGCAATCACGAAGATGGAGATCATAACACGTAAATTTTTTTCGGATCTTTGGTCACGTTCACTAACGCGCAGCCGCTCAATAAGTCCATTCTGAAAAAAATAATAATTTAAAATTCTAAATTAAAATTAAACAAATTTTGAAGGTTCATCATAGACACAAAAAATGGATCTTAGTTGGTCCCTGCTACTTTGTAATTTAATTGTGCAGGTAATGGCATTTCTGATTTCTCGTGACCAAAGTTAATCAAAGGGTGTTCACTAAGTCCTTTCTTTGTGTTTATATTTTGTTAGTACCCAACCGCCATGACTGGCAACCCAATTGCCAGGTTCTTCATGCAGGAGATCTGCGATAGCCGCCGCCGGGGCTGCTATAAGTTCTAGAGCAGGTTCACTGTCTGCTGCCTCAGCAGCTTCTCTTGCTAATGCACCACAGATGCAATATACAGCTGCAATCTAAAAATGTAAAAGGAATAATTTGCAGTTTACTTTGTTTTATTTACACTTTTTTATAAGCATAATTAGGTATAGTATGTAATGTTTGGTTTCATTTACGATCATCTGTTCAAACAGTGAATGTGACCAACGGAAATGCTATGCAGTTTGTATATTAATTGGTACTGCTTAGTTTTTCTTGTGAAATTGAGAATCTATAAGAACCAGCTTCTTATATATAAAATTGTTACAAAAACCATTGGCCATAGGTGATAGGTCGTACAAAAGTAATCTTCACTTGTGTTATTAAAGTTTAAACCCTTAAATCTTCTTTTAGGTTATAGTAACCTTTTTATGGAGAATAGAAATACGAATCTACAACTTAATACTACGTGACGTTAATAAAAGTAAATCTTTATGGCTCGTAAACGTGAATATTTTCACTGCTAGAATATTAAAAGCACTTGTCTACGGGCGGTTATCACCTACTTAATGAGCTTTTACTTGTACATTGCACAATTTTGACACGCTCGTATTTGTAAAGTTAATAAGGTGGAATTTTACAAATTATAACACTCATTTGTATAGAACTAATTACAATAGTCTTTAGCAACGAAAATGAATAATTATGAAACATTAATCTCTTCATAGGCTTCAGTTCGATGAAAACTTAACGACTTTATTTATTCCATCTAATATATAAAATTCTCGTGTCGCGGTGTTTGTAGTTAAACTCCTCCGAAACGGCTTGACAGATTCTCATGAACATTGCATATTGGGTATGTCTGAGAATCGGACAATATCTATTTTTCATCCCCCTAAATGTTAAGGGTAGTCCACCTCTAAATTATTATTTATTTGTTTAATTTTTAGATAATTTTTTTTTATGATACAGCATTAAAAATACATACAATCCCTAATTTTCACCCCTCTACTATCAACCCCTATTTTTATTATAAATGATATACATGGCAAAACGACATTTGCCAGGTCAGCTATATACTTATATAAAGTTCTCGTGTCACAATATTCGTTCACATACTCCTCCGAAACGGCTCGACCGATTCTTATGAATTTTTTTATGCATATTCAGTAAGTATGAGAATCGTCAACTATCTATATTTTTATTTTTTTATGATACAGCATACAAAAATACATACAGCCCCTAATTTTCAACCCTCTAGGATTAACCCCTAATTTTTATTATTGTAGATAGTTATTTTTATTGAACTAAAACAATGTTTCTTAGAAATAATATACATGGCAAAACAACGTTTGTCGGGTCAGCTAGTATTTTTGTAATAATCTATTTAAGTACTTATCCTTTGTGAAGACGTAATGAAGATAGTTACCTTTGACCAAGTTATGTTTTCTCTAGTAATGCGTCTAGCTAGGGCTAAAGCAAGTTCCGCAAGGGCTGTGTCTGATCGGAGCATGGCTGAGGGGGCTCTCGTCGCCTGACGGGCCACGTGTCGAAACGCGTCAGGCCTTTTCCTTTCTAACGCTGCACATAAAGCTCGTAACGCCGCTAGTACTCCCGACTCGACATTGTTTATTGCCTCTTCTCCGCATTCCGTTTCCAGCATTTGTTGTAGGCGTTTTAATACTATTTGCTGAATAAGATATTACTATTTTACGATTTGGCATTCTGAAAAATAATAAACTACGAGCTTCCTCCTTATCAGAATGCCAAATCATAAAATGACTGCTTCACGACTGACTTGAGCGCGACCGTCGCTGTGAAAACCGCTGTGTGAGTTCGAAAAGTGAGTTACAGAATCACAAGGCAGTTTTTTAGGGTTTAACATTAGGCTATGTCACCGAAATATAACAAAATCCGTAATATCCTAGAAAATTTATTAACTTTCGTAGAATTCCAAACAAGAAATAAATTGTATTATTTCACGCCCACGTGCGGATTTTGTTATATTCCGGTTACATATATATTATATTGAGATTTATTTATATTTTATTCTATTTATACCTTAACATCACACATGCTTAAATGAGGACAACTAAATACTTATGAAAATATGAACGATATACATGAAAATGACATGAGGACTTCAGAAAGCGCAGCGCTAACCAGATCCATGCAACTTCTTCACAATCGAGTAGCCCGCAATATCGCAGCACACATCTCTCGAGGGGACTTTTTGTTGCGAAGAAGTCGCATGGGTCCGCCAAGCATCCGCAAATATATAATGTTATCACAAAATAGCAATTAGGTAGGAATCATAATGAAAAGAAAATAATATCTGAATTCATAAAATGTCCACCGACTAATTTTCACCACATTTTTATTGTAAAACAGATTGCCGAATCGTTAACTAACAAGTTCTCCTTACAACTTAAAAGTATTTTTCTTCTAAGGGCCTATTTATTTCTTTCTTACGTTACCTTCTTAGGACACGCTGATGATCTACGTATTTGAGTCTTAATGTACTGAAGACATAGAGCTCTCCCTTGTCGGACAATTTGTGGTTTGACCTGGGTAGGCATGGCTAGGCACCAACCGATGGTGGCAGACAACCTTCGGGAGACTGCAGCGGCTGCCGTGCTTGATACCATTGTGCTAAATCGTCGTTTAGTGCGATCAATCGGTGACAACGAACGTGTTTGTGATAATCGTAGGCCATCTGAAATATTATTTGAAAAAAAAACTTATAATCTGGAATATTATTAGTAGGTCGTAAATATGTCGATCGAACGACGACGAACAGTAGCGTAGTAAATAGTATTGTCTTTTATTGACATAACTTTCACACATTTAATAATAAAACAATTTTTCATCGGATTGAAGTTATGTATTTACAATTATTTTTCATAATTTTAGATTTAACCGACGTTTCGCGTGCTTTACAGCGTGCGTGGTCACGGTGTCGGTGAAATAATTGTAAATACAATATAACGTCAATCCGGTAAAAAATTGTTTTATTATTAAGCGTAGTATATTCTATTAAGTTCTACGAGTACATACTTTATACCATAATTTAACTTTTTACATATATTTTTATTAGGGGACGCCCATAATGTACAGCCATCGCAGCCCATGGACACCCATGTTAGTGGGTGCGTTGCCGGCCTTTGAGGGAGTATGATCTTTTTTTAAACAGTTGGAGATCGTATTTTCCAGGGTCACTGGGGGGTCTTCCCACCAGAAGTCCATTCCACAATTCGCTAGTTCGCAAAAGAAAATGTCTTGTGAAGTGGACTGTGGAAGACTTCATCATCTACCAATTTATAAGAATCATATAATTTTTAAGCGAAAGGAATATCATCAGAGATGTGCTCTGTTTTGAGGGGAAAAGATACTTGTACTAACCGGACAATTTCAGCCGTTCAGCGCCGGGAAGCACGCTCAGCGGCGTGCTGAGTTTGCGACGCGCTCGCAGCGGCGGCACGAACTCGTCTTCTTCTCCATCTGGTGGAGTGACGTGTATTGCGATGTTGTTGTCCTTTTGAATTCTCTTTCCATCCAATTGCCATTTTAAATCCGTTAGAGGTCCTATCTAAAACAAATATTGTGAAACGAGTGTTTTTTAATAACATAATATAAATAAAGAGTTATTTGGAAATTATTATTCCAAAACAGTTCAATTATAAGAAATATTACCCTTAAATTAATAAAGTATGTGATATAGTCACACTCTACAAAGTTTAATTAAGTTTGAGTAATAACAAAGCTGAATACTAAAAAACAATACGTAAGAAACACCCAACAAAGAGTCTCATGTAAGGAAAATACCACCTAGCCGAATTATATTCATGATGCTATGAAAAACATATAAACAAAAGCGATTAGTTAAATGTATTTATTACTATAATAAATGATGCATAAATTTTCTCACGATAACAACTACTTTAATAGATTGATCTGTCTCGAACCTTGAACGTCTTGAGTTTCAACTCCAAGGCAGTCATTCTAATAAAACTTTGTACCCATTAAGTATATGTTATAGTACGAGGTAACACAATGTTTAATATTAAACTATTGGAGAAGCCTTGTCGGAAAAATCTGTTTTCCTTTCAATATTACGTACTCGTCCCATTGAACGGTATCGAGTTATTGCCTAGTTCGTCCTTTGTCAACTTGTTGAGCTTCTGCCTTTGTTACTATCGGAAAGAATTTTCATATTATAACATGTAAAACGTTATATTAAAAGTGAATGTGAAGTTTTTGTTACTCCCTCATCATTTATTACATCATGCCTTAAACCTAAAGGAAAAAGTGAAGTTAAAAATTATCTTGCTACCTTCAAAATACTACAATTTATAATAGTAATTATACTACTGTACTTTATTAGTGTCAAGTAGCCAGGCGCGCTGACTCTGATGTCGCGCGTTTGAATCCCTGCAGTAAACATAAATCTATATGCGCAAGCAATACTTGTATACCTACTCATAAGATGAGGCCAAACATCGTGACCAAGGGATTTAGTGAGAGAGATTTTAGAGAGAGAGACATCAGGAGACTTACGGGTATCAAGAGAAACCAAAGAACCCAAAAGCGCACGACGCATGTCAGGCACAGACGGCTGATCACGTGCTAGCTTATAAAGAAAAATGTTTAGTAAAAATAGACATGGAAATCCGAGTCCAAGATGGATGAAACGCCTCTATTCTTCTTTCTACATATAGAACTGTTGAATTATCGCTAAAGAGGCTTCATTAATAACGTTGTAGTCACATATCTATTGCTTAATAGAATTCGCTATAGATTTGGCTTTTTTACTTCTTTTTTATACCTTTAAACCGTTTAAAGGCCATTAACCTGCCTTTTTTCTGGGTATTAATAGTGTTTTTGTTCGGGTCATAGTTTATGTCTATGCGTTTTAATGTTACATGAATAATACAGTACAGGTGACACCGATGAAGCGTCACTCAATGTAACCGTTGGGAATATTATTAAAATCATTCCTATTTGTATAGGTTATGATAGGATATATGTTATTGTTCCAGCTTTTTGTAATGAAATCTCGACCGAAATCATCAGCCAATAAAATCTTCACTCTGCTGCTCAGAGACTGATAGGGAATCAGTCTCTCTCAAAAGTACAATCTCATTTGTCCATGAGTTGTTCAAATAAATTTTTTTTCCTCGATTGTTGTACTAAAGATAAAACCTATTTTTCCTATAAGGCATTTTCTATTATAACAAAATCCTAAACGGATATAACAAACGTGGAAGAATAAAAGTTTTGGAAATATTCTATAAAGTCAAACTCTTAAAGTTTGACATTTTTATAAAATGAATACACCATTCACGAGATCTTGAGGAAATTGTCAAAGACAATCTTTCGATATGCTGTTCACCTTTATTTCTTGTCCAAAGATGGCTCAAACATCCCGAAATGCCGGTATAATATTTCTAAATTCCACACGAAGCATTTTTTGTCTTGACTCCTGCTTAGAACGTAAACATAGAGCAACATGATCTTAAGCAATAATGATAAATGGGGATATTATGAAAAACATCTACTATTTTCAAGCATATACAGTTGAATAATTGTATGCCATTACTCAAGTCACGCATTCCTTTTGTGAGAGATTACTGCTATTCAGCAAGCATTTACGGATATGTTTGAATCGCAATATTGTCTTTGGCTAGTGAATACCACATTTAAATGAAACTTCTTTAACTGAATTTTTCATAACTCGACGTATCGAGTGCCTTATCGTATATACCTATTACCGGGTAGACTAGCAGTGTAGCATGAAACTTTCACATCAGAAAAGTCAAAGAAATGAAAGATAACAATGTGAGGAGACGGCGTGTTTCAGGTACAGAAGGCTGATGACCTAGTAGTAGAAAAAAAATCACTAAATAGATACAGAAATTTCAAAAGATCAAGTACGCCAATAGATTTTTTATATCAGATAAGCGGCCTATCTCGGCCTCGCATGACATTTATTATTCAAAATACTTTGAAAATTAAAGTAGTATACGTTACTCAGGCATAATGTAACTTTCTAGTGGGGAACTTAATAAATCGTTCTAGTAGTTTCTAAGTTTACTCTTTACACACATACAACATAAGTATTAGTATAGTTAGTTTAGTTAAAAACTGTGCTTTATTCAAATATATGAGTTTTACCGACTATATGATAGAAACAGTGAGAGGAAATTCCGCGAATCAAAAATAATTCAAAGTTTTTAATAAACTTTGACAAAAGAAATACAAAATTTCAATCAGAAATATAAAATACCTGTCTTCAAACGAATCTGGTAACTACAAGAATTCGTAATTGACGACGTCGGAAAATTTAATTTTGTTAAATTGAAAATTATCCTTCCTGCTGATAGAATAGAATGATACAATTGTATAAAATTGTCGTTGAATTTTCTATAAGAATATAATTTGAATTGCTTAAATTTTTTTAATACATACATTTATTCAAACCCTAAGGAAATTATCCTGGAAAATATACCAAAAAGGTTACTTCTAATTAAACGGAATTCATATTTCAAGTGATTTTAACTTGTTTATTTATCAAATTTTTCGCGTGCCTTCCAGCCACGATCTCGGATATTTCAGCGCCTATTCGTTGTAAAACATAATTAAATTTCAATGGAAAAAATAACAAAGTGTATTTTATTACATGGCGGCTGATAAAATTATATTTTAATAGAGTGACGGTAACTTTGTTTTACAATGCCTAAAATTTAAAAAAGTTTCAACTTAAACACGGGATTTTTTTTTTATCGTTTACGCTAAAATTTAAATGTTTTGGAAATACTTAGACAGAAGCATTAAGGCCAAACACTTCTGAAGTAATAAAATTCCGACGTTTTGCCAAAAAGTTCTGTCTAGGACCTAGACAGAACTTTTAGAACCTAGACTCTAGGTGATATGACAAATTTACCCGTTGTGGGGTTTGGAAATATCAATAAAGATTTAAAGTTATTTTTTTATTTTCTTACTTAAACATTATAAAATAACCTCAAGGTACAAAGTGTTGCCTGAAGAGCAATAACCATAGTATACTTCCTTTATTAAGCAGCTAGACTTAAGAGAAAAAATAATAAATACATAAACAAAAACTAAACGAAAATAGATAAAAAATATTTTATAGCAATCACACTACAGGTTGCCTAAAAAGTACCTTTTAAGCGTACCTTTGCAATTTTCAGATGTTATTTTCAGATGATTATCAATTAACAAGATGCGGAGCAACATATGAGGAATTTGCTTGGACTGTTAAATAAATATTCACCTTTAATACAATTTTATTTTAAAATCAATTTTACGGACAGTGTGATACAAAAATACACTTTATAAAAACATCACATTGAGCCCCAAATTGCTATTAATTATTAAACTTAAATGAACCGCATAGAACTAGAATAGTTCATATTCATTGTAATTTTTTAGAATAGGTGTACGTACGATTCTCGAAAGAAGTATTCTTGAAAGAAATATACAAGATGAATAGGTTTCAAAGACTTTACATTTACAAAAGACATGTATAGTAGATATTAAATTTTTGAAATAGATGAAGATTATAATTTCTATATTGTTTGGTTACCATTAAATTCATAAAAAAATCATTTATGTATTGCAAATGCTGATTGATTATTCTTTATTTAGAGTATTGGAAGGAATAAATACATAGCGACAGCCGTAAGGTCATGACTAAAGCCATGTCAGCAATGTTAATTCAGCGTTCAATGTTACTGATAAGTTTTACACTCTCGGAATACTAAGTGAGGTGTCCTTACGAGGAAATTTAAAGAGAATGTGATTAGTATGCATTTAGGTCAATCAATTTTAAAAGCAATGTTTGGTTCGGAATATATAAATAAAGTTGAAACGTGGTGACCGCAAGTGAGCCGCAAGTTCCGTGCGTAATCAATCAATCATACTTCGTCAGAACTCAAAGCGTTGCCACTTGTTCTAGTCCAAAATTCCACAAAAGGCCCTTTGAACCTCACTTATGTTTGGTAGTCATTAGTTCGACTTGAAATCAAAGGATACAAGGAGCACGTTGATAGGCTTCTACATTTTTTATAAGAGGAAAAAGTATGTAGAGTGGATTTTTTTTATTACCTGTTTATGAGACAAAACCAAAACAAAAAAGTAATTATAATTCACTCAAACAATCTCGTAAGTAAACGCTCTATAATATATAAATAGGTTTACTTAATTGTTTAGCCACTGCAAATTAAATAATCATCGAGAATAATATTGATACGTAATTTTTTGATAATTATCATTAATTACTCGACGTAAAAAACATTTATGTCCGTTTTTTTATTGTAGTTTTATTTATCCTATGGTATCCATTGAATAAATGACTGCTTGTTTCATTCTACTTTTAGGTTTAAAGCTTACGGAGGCCTGAGAAATGTAATACTACCATTTATTTATCGAAAAACATTGCGACAGAATCGCAGAATGTCTTTTCAAATTTTTTGAAAGCAAATAATGGTTAATCAATGAAAAGCCCTAATCAAAAAGTTCATTCATTCAGTTGATATACTGATACGAACTTGTAGGCTTCTAATAAACTTCTAAATGAGTTTCAGTCTGCCCCTAAAACAACCCTAAAAACAAACACCAATAGTCTATACAAAAGTAAGACACGGTATCACATCTATATTACAAGAATATAATATAAAATAAGAACATAAAAAATGTTATTTCATGCTTGAGGTGACTTAAATCGCACCTGCTTAGTGCGATAAATCAGTTGCAGTGGTCGTTTATTTGAGTCGTAAATGAGTTCGTAGACTAACAACCATAGTTCGTATTAAATACGTGTGACGCTTGACGCTAAATTACTATAATATTAAGTATTAACTAACGCACACACAACGTCACAGCGCAAGGCTTTGCGCGTAATACATTTACGTTCCATTCCACGCTTACACCCTAAAAATCTATGGCATGTCTCAAAAACAGATAAACAATAAACAAGGAA